CAATTAACCATTTTCTGAAGCACACAAATATTCTGCTCTTAGGCTACATTTAGAACTCTAAAAATTTTTTTTTACCATTCTTCAAAAGTTAATACCTTCTCACAGTTGATCACTGTAGGTATTTGCTGCATCAGCCATTAGAGGCCTTCGGTTCTTTCAAATTTTGCGCATGTTGCGCATCGATAGACGAGCGGGCACCTGGAAATTGCTGGGATCTGTTATTTGGGCTCATCGACAAGTTTGTTTTATCAGTTTTTTATTTTACTGTTTGCTGCAAACATTTATATAATTGAATTTGTTTCATATCTAAGTCAGAGAAAAAAAAAAACAGTAAAATTCGAAAGTATAAATTAATGTTGTAAAAAAATCGTTTTACGATTATACATTGATCAAATGCGCTGTGTTTGAAGTATTTTTTTCTTTTTTTGAGTACTGTAAATGGTGAAATTTTCTTCAGTGTTTCCGTTTTGTTCTGATATACATAAAGTGATTTTGATTACCAATTTTCAAGCAACACTAACAAATTGAAGGTGTTTTTTTTAATGTTAGATAACTCCTTGGTGAAACAACTGATAAAAACTGTCGCTTCTTCTATACAGTTTTTCAGTAGTATTTGTTAGGTTAATTATTATAACTGTTTTTTTTTTTTTGAGATGGAATGTTTAATTTTCTTTCTTTGTTTTGAAGAAGATTTCTCAGTAATTTGTAATATGCAACAAAATTTTTAAGGAAAGGGAAAATTTACAATTTCAGGAGCTCTTGACAACATTGTATATAGGTTTCTTGGGCCTTATATTTTCTGCATTCTTAGTTTATGTTTGCGAAAAGAATTACAATGAAAAATATTCGACGTTTGCTGACGCTCTTTGGTGGGGTGTTGTAAGTATTTTGCCATCTCTTCTGTTTTACAACTACGCTTTTGCTGTTACAGTTTGTGATTTCAGTTGAACAGATGTTAGGCCTGAAACTGAACCGCTAAAAAGTTATATTTTTCACTAATTTTATTTGACAAGAAAGTATTCTCTCATAGAAGTAAATGTTATAAAAACTGTTCGTTTAACATATTCCTCAATTTTTTTTATATTAATGATTTGGTTGAGGAGAAAGAGTACGTAATACTAACAGTCTTTTCTTGTAGATAACTTTGTCTACTGTCGGTTATGGTGATAAAACTCCAGAGACCTGGCCAGGAAAAATGATCGCCTCTGGTTGCGCTCTTCTCGGCATTTCTTTTTTTGCTTTACCGGCTGTTAGTTTATTGATAAAATTATCTTTACTTTTTTCTTGTTCGTTATTTGCCTGTCCAGTGACTTCCTCTTTTTCTTCTGTTTATAAAAAACTATTGAAAAATAAATTGAAAGATAAAGCTGTGTTGGGATTAGAAGAATCAATGTGTGTATACATAAATAAGGCTTTTAATCGATGTTTTAATTAAGAAAAAAAATTTTTTTTTAAGGGAATTCTGGGAAGTGGTTTTGCTCTTAAAGTGCAACAACACCAACGTCAGAAGCATGTAATAAGGCGCCGACTTCCAGCAGCTCGAGTAATACAGTGCCTTTGGAGGCTTTATGCTGCACATCCAAAAAGTCAATCGGTTGCTACTTGGAGACGTTACCTTGCACCTGATGTTTCAACAGTGTATCATTTGTTCACATATTTCTTTCTTTTTTTTTCTTTTTTTTTATTTTAAGAACCAATAAAGTGTTTTATTGTTCACTGTGATAACAAGCATTTTCTGTTGAGAATTATTTATTGCAGAAAAATAAAGTTTTATGATATGGAGAATTCTTGGGTTTCAGTTCAAATCTGACAAGTAGTATCTTTCTTTTTATGAAATAAATAATTAGTGCAAGAGTTAACTACCAATGTTATTCTTTTACTTTTTTCTTTTTTTTTTTATTGTTTCTTAGTAAAAAACTTTTTTTTTTAGTGAACGAACTATTTCTGGTAACGGACCAGGCGGAAGTCAAACCAGCTTTATAAATCGCATTCGGCAAAGCACAAAACGAAGAACAACCCCAACGCAACCAGATTCGTTGTCTGGAACTGCTACTGGACTTGCTGCAGTTACCAGTGGTAATTCTGTTATGAAAACACTCCTTGTGCCTAAACATAGTGATAATATCAGGTATTCCATTCATGAAAATTGATTCATCTGTTTGATTCCTTGTTGTTTTGTTCTGATATTTCTTGACACCTCTGTCACTGAAATTCTTCTCATAAAATTTATCTTAAAAATGAGTAAATTAGGCCAAAATAATAGTGAAAACGTAAACTTATGTATTTTGTTTTATTAATTTTAAGTGCAACTTGTAAAGTACAATTGTACTTACAACTTTTAGTTATGTTTCAACGTCTGAGCTTAGCGAAGTGGAAAGTCTTGGAGCTCTTGGGTTTAGTTTAAGCGGATGGAAAGCCAAAAGTCGAAGCGATCCAGTGAAGAGGTATCATGATGAAATTCCGTCACATCATCATCGATTAATTGGAACCACTTCATCTTTAGGAACCGTTGATATTGGTTAGATTTTTATCGCTGCTTTCTTCTTCTGTAAATCACAGTTATTTCTGAATCCCAGTTTGACGATAATAGAAGAAATTTCAGAAAAGGGATTAATGTACAGTTTTGATGTTATAGCTACTAAAAACAAATGTTTCTTTGTTCAAAAAATGTTAAATATTTTGCACATGATCACTTAAATTATTGCGATGTTAGCTGATTTTATCGAATTATCAGTTGCAGAACTGCATTTTCAAACTGACGAAACAGTGATTAATTTTTCTCATTGTCGTTTACAGCATTATTATTTCAGCTACTTTTTTCCTATGCTGTATCACTACCTGAAAAACTCTGCCCGGTCTTATTGCATTTTACGAAACACAGTTTTGTATTTTGATAGGACTTTTAAGAAATGAACTCATAGACCGGGAAATAGTACTGGATTTTTGAATTATATTTATAGTTAATTTCTAAAATTAAAATTTTGAATGCAAAATTTTGAAAAAGTAATGAAGATTAATGATAGAACTGTTGACCAAAATGCTTCTGTATAAGTTTAAAAACACAGTTTGGATGTTGTTTGCAGTTTTTTCCTTCATCATCAGTTTTTTTGCTCAGTAATGAGGGCTTTTTTCGTGAGCAGCACAAAGATAGTTTATATACGGAAAAACAATTTTTTTTTTTGCGTTTTGTTTTTAGACAAATAAAAAACAATCAAGAACGTTTCTGGTGGCTGAGCAGTTATTGTTTTTACAGCTATAGATGTATACAAACACACAGATAAAAAGAATTTGTAAAAGATTTTTTAGCTAATTATGAGCTCAGTTTATGATTTAGTTATTTGGTTTTGCTTAAGAAATACTTTGACAGTTTTTTTCTTACTGTAGTCAGCTTGGCTCTCAAAACACGGTCATCGTTTTCTGAACTGCAACTAGGACTTGATGACGTTTGTCATCCTTTCCTTTTTCTTCTTCTTCTTCCCCTCCTGCTCGTTCTTTCCCCTTAGAAGGAAAACTAAAAAATCTAGTCATACTTCACTAAACAGCAAACGACATGAAATTGTACTGTGGAATTTAAAAAAACTCTGTCAATGCATCTAAAGGATAAATGTAATGATCTTCGAATGTCAAACTAAACTGGCTTTAAGTTATTGTTCTTTATTTTTTTTCTCTTTTCAGTACAGTCAGCACCACAATGCTGCTCTCGAAGGTTGCCTGCTTTATGACTTGTGCTTGTTTTCAACAGCTTCCTGTTTTTTTTTTCATTTTGGGTTTTTATTTTCCAGCAGTTCTTGACGCTCAATTTTTTCAGCTCTTGACCAACCGCGTTTTGCATGACTTTTTTTTATTTGTTTTTGCTTGCCGAATTTGTTCTCAATCTTTCATCTTTGTTACTAACTGGTTAAATAAGCCAACAACAATAACGACAAGCATAAGAACCATCATAAAGTGGTAGCATTATTTTTTTAACAAAAAGGTGTTAGAAAAGTTTTTTGCAAAAGTTAAGTGGCTAGTTTTTTGTTCTAAGCAGTATATCAGTGCTGTTGTAGATAGCCTTAGCTAGAAGCAAGGGTTATTTTAAGACCAAAACAATTTTTAGAGAAAAACCGAATATTTCATAAATTTATACTACTGCTTTATCTGACTTTTAGTGATTTGGCTGTTACAGAATTTCTAAAAGATAAAATTTAGATTGGTTTTTTTCTAACTGCACACGACTTTATTAGCATTTACCTAATCTGTTTAAAACTTATATTAGTGACCGAAATTAACAAAAAAAATAATAAGACTTATTTTCAGTTTACTTAACATACATTTTTTGTTTTTGTCTATGTTTTCTTATGTCTTATTTGGCCAAAAATTTTCACCTCGTTTTCCCTCTTCAAAAGCTTATATCTAACCTAAATTTATGATAAATTGATTTTATAACAAAACACTTAAAAAAGTTAGAAATATAAAGAAAAACGAAAAAAGAAGCCTTAAATACGCATGATATGATCTGTAGAACAAATCATCTACTACTACTCCTACTACTTAGCAGTAACATTTGATCATCATGTGATGACGCATCTATGTCCTTGTATGTCCCAAAATTTTTGATTGCTTATCTCTGAACAGCGCTTTAGAGACGCTCCATCAACGCCGTTCGCTTTCCTTGTGCAAATATCTGACAGAAGAAGGGGAAATCATGAGCGAATATAACCTGATCATGGCTCCCCTGTATGAATGGTGCGAAAGGATGAGACGAAAGCAGCAGTTTCAGAGCGATGCCGACTTCTGGGGTCAGTTAGGATGGTGCGCTCCGCACTCTCGGCGAAAGCCATCTTTTCAATATGTCTTAGGTACTACTAACTAAAAATCCTTAAAACTTAACCTTCCCTCTGCCTAACACTAATCTAATATAACAGTAAACAAATTCTTTTGTATAGTTTCTTGAGCTGTTTTTTTTTGCAGTAATATTTTCAAAAAAAATATTTTTTTTTCTTTGATATAACATCTTTAGTTTAGTAAAAATTTATGACAAAGTTTAACTGTTCAGCGTCAAATTATTCAACTGTAAGTTAAAATCACTAACAGAAAAAGTAGCTAAAAAAAAAAGAGAAACAAAAACAAAAAGTACAGATAAAAAACCAAGAAAAAATAGCCGTTTTAATTGTTTTCGTTTTGCATGGGGCTTGGTTGATTTTTGCATGACTTCAATACTGCATTACTTTGAACTTTTATCATCCCCAAATAATTTGTTGTTCCTATTTTTTTCTGTTGTTTTTTTTTTGACTCTTTTTTTTACCTCTTGTAAAAATAAGAAAAAAAAGAAGTGGTGGAAAATGGATGTTTGTTTGGTATATCAATAGAGCCAAAATGTTCAAATTTGCAAATAAACCTGTAAATGAATTTCTCATTTGTGTTAATTGTGGGCATTTTTTTTGAAAAAAAAAAAGAAAAAAAAAGCCGATAGTTATCAGTGTTTCGCTAAAGTTAAACTTCTTTTCAAGAAACTATTTTTCCAGTTATTGAAAAACTTTTATTTCAGTAACTTTTTATGATTCATTTTTTTCAGACATTTACAAAAACTTTTTTCTGCATATTTTATCATCGGTGGAGGTATGGCTTAAAAAAACTTACTTTTTAATTAGTTAGTGAACAGCTAAGTATCTGTCTCGTAAAAAAAACTCTTCGAGTTTGGAATGATTAAAGTGTACAATTTTTTACAGTTATTACTTCAAACTTTTGTTTTGGACAGGGAAAGTATGACTTATTGTTTATGACAGATATTACAATTTTTGTCTTATATTATTCTTTTAAATAAAATTTGTAACTTACAATACTTTCAGCAGTTTATTTACTGCGTTTTGACAAGCTTAGATTTCTATCGCATACAGCTATAAATATCAATTACTGAAGAAGCGAATTTTAATTTTAATTTATTGTTCGATAATAGAACATTAGCATTATTCTTCCTTTTTAAGATCAGTATCAATTTTGGAATAAGACTGAAACTGATGACAAAAAAAAAACCTCTTAATTATCCAAATACGCGCTTATCACTTATACCAGTTGCTAATCTGATATAGCATTCTTACCCATCTACCGCCTCTGAATAAAGTTTGGCATAAAAAACAGTTCTGCAGTGTTCTATTTAAGTTGCAAGCAAACTAAAAAAATAGTGTATTTTTTATGTATTACCTTGATAGACTGTATTTCAAAAGTTAAAAATTATTGTAAGGATAGATAATAGCAGGCTTTAGAAGTAACTCTCTTCTTATGCCTTTGTCACTAAGTTTCTTAACTGCTGCATTCAATCAGTCAATCTACTAAGCTGTCTTAGTCTAGTTGAATACAATTTCAACTGACCGTGACGGTTATTATAAGATTGCTAAATTAAAAAATAAAGGTTGATGATTTTCGTTTATAATATCAAAGTAGGTGCTGATTGGCTACAAATGAAAGTTTACTACAAAGTTTTTTTGTCCATGTTTGAAGTTTGTCAACCTCTATTTTTCTAAGCAAATTACTGTTGCAAGGAGGGAAGCGAAATAATATTCAAGCAAAATAGGCTTTTGTAAGCAGTAAATTTTTTTTATAAAAAAAATATTAAAATAATAATAATAATAATAATAATAATAATGATAATAATAATAATAACTAATAATAATGATAATAATAATAAGAATGAGGAAGGACAGTAGTTACTGTGATAGTGCTGAGATGACTGCAGAATCATTCTTATAGCTCATTTTATAGAAGAAGAATGTATGTCGTTACGGCCGAGAAGCATGGAAGAATTTTCACCACAGCTTAAGAATGCAATTCGTTTTATACGACGAGTACAGCTTCTGGTATCACGTCGTAAATTCCGAGAGGCGTTAAAACCATATGATGTCAAAGATGTCATCGAGCAGTATTCGGCTGGACATGTCGATTTGCAAGCTAGAGTTAAACAAGTTCAGCAAAGGTACCAACCAAATTGAGCTGATAATTCTAAAACTTTAGACCGTCTTACTTTAGCACTGTAAAATCATTAGCATTTGCAGCTGGGCTAGAAAACAGTTAACGGATGTTAGCGTTTTAATAAAATACTTAGCTGTTGAAAATTTAGATGTTACACGGAAAAAACTGTAGAAAAATTTTATCATTTTTTAGAAGAAGTAACAGTACGTAAATTTTTCTGTAATTTTTATACATTAAGCAGTAACCTTATTAACATTTACTTTGTTTAATAAATAAGTTATAAATTTCTGCAACATTTCATTTTTTACCTAACCGTAATAAAGATAAATTTATTTTAGTTTGCAGACAGATATCGCTATTTCAGATGCCTAAATAATACTGGCACTTTGATTTTTAATCTGTTCAAAACAGATTAAAAATCTACTTATTTTATTTTCAAGATTATTAAGTTTTTGTTTTACCGCTATCTGCTGTTACTTTTCCTGTCAAGTTTAAAAAAATTAAAAGGAGTGACTAGACTGTTCTCAATTTTTCTTTTGTTCAGGTTAGATTTAATTGTCGGTACTTCTAAAGATGACTCGAGTTCATTGACGCATCGAGTCTTAGTCATCGAACGACAGGTACTGTACAAAAAGTTGATTCTTTCTTATTGCTGAAAATCAGATGCTTTTATAGAAGAAAGGCATTGTCTTTCTAAAGAAAAAAACACTTGTTTTTAAGTGAAAAGATTAGTGTAGAAAATTACAGGTAGAAAAAATGGATAAAAAATTGGATTTGTTGGTAGAAATGTTTTTGGAAGATAAGCAACGACGGAATGGCGGAACTATCCAAGTCAGGTACAGTTTTGATCTGCTAAACAACTCTTTTGTTGCTTTTGTCATTGCTGCTATTACTGCTATCAGATGAACCATAAAAAATTAGATAATACAGATGATTCGCTGCAGCTATCAAGTCATGTACAAAACTGTGATACTGTAAACTTTCAACTGAAGAACCACAGAATATAAAACTTTTGCTTAGCTACAGTTTTAAAAAGTTGAATTTTGGTTTTTTGAAGTCAAAAAAATGAACGAATGAAAATATAAAAGCAATCGTAATTGTATAAATTTGAATATACAAGTAATGAACTAACATTTTTAAAAATTTAATTAGTTTATTTTGTTTTTTTTTTTCTACATTATTTAGATCGTCATATCCTTATGAGCCAACAAAAAGTCTACCATTTGTTAGACCAGGAGAAACCACAGTTGTCAAAGCACATTTACAAAACGACGATACTGAAGCAAGCTGCTTTATGACTGCCAGAGAAGAAATGGACTGTCATCCATCAATCGCTGACCTAAACGCCGTTTCCGTTACACGTAAGATTTTGGTTCCTTCTTTTTTTTTTTTCTTCATTTTATTCTCATCACAAATGATTATCAGGAGAAGTGAATCTATATTTTATCAAAGTTAATTGAGAAAATAAACAAAAGAAAAATAAAGAAAGACAAAAAAAAGTTAAGTAATGATAACAAAAATAGACAGTTATTTTTGTTCTTCTTCCTTTTTTTGGTTTTGTTTTTTTTTTTTTTTTTTTTTTTTTT